AGTAAGTGAGCACTAAGAAGTGATCTTTGGAAACACAACCCCAAAAAGAGTGAAATTGGGAATGAAAGGTTGAATAATTTTTTTCAAAAATTTGTTTATAAAAAAACTGTCTTCGGGGTACGCAATTTTGTACAGAGGTCCCTTAAATGTTCATTTAAAATATGGCGTGATAAAGAATTTTAATATCTATATATCCGGTGACAACAAAATTATCGCACAGACCATCGAGCCGCCATGCCAGTTCAATGAAGGCACTACCAAACCACCTTTAGTAAATTTACTTATTATATACAGCCCCTTCGGGTTCGAATTCGGCGATATGTCTGATGAATTTGTCAAAAACTGATGGCACTGATCACAAGTAGAGGCAGATGTCGCTTACGCTTTGTACAGGGTATTATGGCTCTGTAGAAGAGTAACAAGCAACGGTTTAGCTATGTCGAAACACCAGTTTTGCTACTAAATAATGGTATCTATAAATACGTTATTTATTTTTTTATCAATACGCATGGATCTAAAAATCTTGAAATAATCTATAAATTTTTTAATACGTTAATAATAAACTACAAGGTAGATTGTTAGACATGTACAGGGTGGGCCAGATTGGACACTTTTAAAGGGAAACACCATTTCCTATAGGAGATACTTCCTATAGGACGAAAACCAATATCGGTGTCTGGAGCCCAATTTTTATTGAAAGTAACTATTAAATTCAACACAAAAGGTACTTTGTAAATGTTTTCATAAAATAAAAAAATCCATAGCAAAAACTTACAGTGATTTGTTAAAGATGCACATTTTTAAATAACACCCTGTCACTCCAAAATGGTAACAGATATCGATGTGCGGTTTTTACCAACATGTTTTTGATAAAAACTGAGCTCCAGATACCGATATTAGTTTTTGTTCGCTCCTATAGAGAAAAGTGTTTTCCATTAAAGTGTCCAATTTGGCCCACCCTGTTCAGGTTAATTAGGAAGTTTATATAAGGAACTGTTTGAATTTCCCCATACGTCCCAAATATTCCTTTCGTACAAAATTAATTCTTAATGATTCATATCTGGATTGATTGGATAATTATTAAACACGCCCAATTTTATTAAAATAAAATGATTACATACATTAATTATTATTCTATTTTGTTGTTAATTCCGTTTTTCAATAAAATATTTTATGACCTTTATCGCTTCAACTTTATCAATAATAAAGTTTATTTGATTGCAGACCGAGGTGACAGTTCTAAAATTATGTCGGTATCGAAAAATCAAAGCAAACCTTACAATAGACGATTCTGTATCATCGGACCGTGACGTAACGTATTAAAGCCGAGGGTTGAGGTATACTTACGTAAAAGCGTACGCACCATTTTCCCTCTCTATCCCTCCACCCTGTTTGTTTCAATTGCGTTGGGATAACTATGGGTGTGCCATCTGGGTTTTGGGGCCGTCCTCTCCCGTCAACTGGTTTTTCGAATTAGATGAAAGGCAAGGTCGCAGGTCAGTCGGTAGGATATTTTTGACGGTTTTCTGGCGTGCGGGCCATTGTTTTCGAAAATTGATTTCGAAGCGTTGAAAGCTGGGGTTGACCGACACGAATTCTTGCGTTTGAGAGGGTAGGCCATTGTTATAAATTTCTCTTTTTCAGAAGAATAAGTTTTAGATTTATATTATTTAATTTAAAAAAAAATTATAAATAAAAATGTTTAAAGTCACACCTTCGAATGTTTTTAAACATAGTAAATATGAATAGTAGTATAATAAATCTATTTACAAGATATTTAATAACTTTAGTTTAATGTGGTCTATAAAAGGTAAAAAAATGGAAAAAGGTTCAAAATAGTCTTTTCGATTTTTTCTTTTCGTTTTGCTTTCACAATCCTGAGGTAATAGGCGATTGAAGCGTAGTGCTAGCCACATTATTTTCCTGGTATACCGAACGGCTCTAGCATAGCAAGCTGTACCATTGCGATAAAAAAAAGTAGTACAAGAATTAGTAGTCCCAGATAGAACTCCTGGTCTATAAGGATATCGAGAAGTGGATATCGTCGAACAATACAATTATGCCACCTAACTTTTTAAGCGTTACCATGAATTTGGTAATAATTGGTATACGTGGCGAAATAAAAGTATAAAAAATTTACCTACCTTTTAAAAATTATTAAAAAAAAAAAATTTTTTAAGTTTTTTTTTATTTTATTATAGACCAGCAGATTCAATCATATTTTGTTGTACTACTTTTTTTATCACTTATTAGACCCTGCTACTCCCAAGGCGTTAAACGCGATATACAGGAGCTATTATTTGTATATTTTTCCAGCTTAACTCAGCAATTTATGATGGATAGTTAGCTATTTCTTTGTCTGAACCATGTCTTATTATGTGGAATGAATGTCGCACCCACTTGGGGTAATTGTCCGTTTCATGAAATGGATATCCACTACGCGAACTGAAACCTAACCAGATCGCGAACCTAACCTAACCAGTTCGCGAAGTGGATTACACTACATCGCTAGTCAGGAATAAAAATTGAAGCCAAATTTTTGAGATGGACTTATACAAAATCCACATAAGTCGGTCCTTTTCGTTCAACAGCTTTGGACTACGCCATCGTGAGAAGTGCTTCTCGATTAGTTGATTTATTTCTTCTTCTTCTTCTTCTTCTTCTTCTTCTTCTTCTTCTTTTAGAAGGCGTATCGCCTGTTTAGTTCAGGTTTCCTCCTCGTCTAAGCAACTCTTGCGAGGTTGACTTCCAACTGTCTTACCAACGTTTAGGTGGTCGTCCAGTAGGTTTTCTGCCATGGTTGTTGCGAATTATTATATCCATTCTGTTGGGGCCCATTCTATTGACATGCTGGTTCCATTCTCTTCTTCTCTGCCTTATCCATCTGACAAGGTCGTTTGTTTGGCACTTCGCTGTCTACTTTTCTCTGTCTGTCCCTCATTGTGTATCCAGTTATCATTCTCAAAGGTGCTTCATTTCAGTAGTTCATAGGATTCTCTTTGTTACTGATATTTCAGCTCTGGTTTCCGCACCATATGTCATCACTCGTCGTATGCAGGTTTGTATATTCTTGACATTCTGTACTCAAATGTTTGTTTTTCCATAAGGGATATTTAAGATGTCCTGATGTTGCGGCAGCTTTATTGGCTTGTTTCCTTACTTCTTCTTCCAGGAATCCTGAGCTTGTAATTTTGCGTCCGAGGTACTCGAATGACATTATCTGATCAATGGTTGCTGGAATTTTTTATTACCAATTTGCACCGTAGAGGCTCCTTCGTAATGGTCATACATTTTGGTCTTATTTGGAAATTTGCATGTTAAGTTTTTCTGCCTGTTTGTTAAAAGCTTGTAGCATTTTTGGAGGTCGTCCTCTGACTCTGCAATAGTACTGCGTCATCAGCATAGCTTATGCTTATATGTTTACTTTATGCATTTCCCCATTTCGATATTCTAATCCAGTATTCTTGACGGTTTTATTACTTGATCCATGATTGTGTTGAATAGCAGAGGGCTGAGACTGTCGCTTTGGCGAATACCAGTTGTAGTTCGAAGATGCGTTAAGGTAAAGTTTGTTCTTATTTGGGTTGTGTTTGTGTTTAAGTCCTTGATAAGTTCTGTGAGTTCTTTCGAGACATTACTGCTTTCCAAGATGGTGATGATGTTTTTTTAGTTGGACTCTATCAAAGGCCTTTGTTAAGTCTATAAAACATAGATAGGCTGGAGAGTTATATTCTAGGGATTTTTCAACTAGTTGCTTGAGTATGAATAGTGCATCGGTAGTTGATCAGTTTCTTCGGAATCCTTGTTGTTTCTCGCTTATTGGCACTATTGATTATTTGTCCGCAATGATCTTAGTCAGAAGTTTTAGTGAGGTGCTCAGTAATGTTGTTCCTCTATAGTTTGCTGGGTCTGTTTTATCTCCCTTTTAAAAGAAATGGGTATTGGTACATGCTTTGTTTCCATTCTTTTGGTATTTTCTTATGTTGTAATATAATGTTAAACAGTTTTGTATATTCCTCTATGACCGATACCTGCGTTTTTATTAGCTCGTTTGGTATTTTTATCTTGATTAAGAGTTTTCTATTTTCAAAGTTTCCTTATTGTCTCTTCTACTTACTTGTAAGTGATTTGCGCATGATTTTCTGTATTATCTCTTTGGCTTTTCTCTTGTGCTTCCATTGGTTCATCTGTTTCTGCGTATAAGTCTCTGAAATAGTTTTCCCACGTATCTTCTGCAATTGTTCTTAGTTGTATTGTTTCATTTGTTTCTCGTTTCAAACCCCTCAACATCTTCAAAATACGTTTTGGGCTCCGTACATATCCGCCTACATTTCGCTACTAAATCGCTGCCAATATTCTTCTTTACTTTATCGTACTCTATTATTAGTCCTGTTCCTTATTTCGGTATAGATATTTCGGTTCTCCAGTGTTGGAGATTTCTTGTATTGTAAGTATTTTTCCTTCTTTTCCCTTGTAATGTTCTTGACTTCTAATGTAAACCAAGGTTTAATGTTCGGTCTTCTATTGTGTGATACAGTACGTGTTCCTAAAGTTTCTTTAGCACCTTTGCAGAATGTTTCTTTCAGTTTGTTTCCAAACTTTAGTATTTCAGAGTATCAAACTGTACTATGGTGTTAAGAGTGACATGTGTTTGTCATCTGTTTGAATAAAGTTGTTTAGTGCTTTCGTGGTTGAGGGATTCTATATTGAATTTTCAGTTTTTATCGATGGTCTTTTTTTTGATAGCGGCGCACCTATTTGTATCTTTCCTAGCACAAATTTGTGATCTGTTCCAATGTTGGGTGAGGATAAGACTCTTATGTCTATTATTTGTTGAGGTAAGAAACTTCGATTGGTGATGATATAATCGATTATTGATATATTGTTTCTATTGTCATAGAATGTGTATTTGTGTTGTTCTTTATGGGGAAAATATGTCTTGTTTATTCTCAGTTCGTTCTGTCCACAGAATTCGGTCAAAATTTCGCCATTTCTCTTAGTTATATTCTCGTTATATTTTGTTTTATTCCACCATCCACTACCTCGTTTCCAATTCTTGCGTTTAAATCCCCTAACAGAATTATCTTTTCATGTCTTGGTATTTTGTCTATCACTGACTGTAGATTTTCGTAGAAGTCCATTGACATTTCTTCAGGTTTATTAATGTCGGTTGCGTACACTGATATAATGTGAATGGGTTGGTCAGACATAATCTTTACTCTCAGGATTCTGTCGCACACGTATTCTATGCTTTCTATATTCTGTTCATTTTTATCGTTTATAGCTACTCCAACGCCTGATGTTGCTCTTTGGTCTTTTGGTACGCCTGAGTATATTAAAATGTAGTTATTTAGTTTTGTTGTTCCTTTACCTTTCTTTTTGGTTTCGGAAGGTAGACATATGTCTGTACATGTTCGTTGAGTTCGGGGAATTAGTTCATGGTCTTTCGAATAAAGTGTTTTTATATTCCAGCATGCAATTCTTATTTGTTGCTTCTTCATATAAAGTTTGTTCATTGTCCTTTTCCGCGCGTGGGTCGTTATCTGTGAAATCAATCCTGGTTCCGAGGCTGTATTACCGGTGCTTTGAGCGTGTGAGTGTTTTACCTTAGGCAGGTTGCTACCCCTTACCAAGGAACCCTCCTCTTTTATCCGGGCTTGGGACCGGCAGTGACAACTGTGAGCTACTCAATCCACCACAGCTGCCCCAAGCGGGTTTTGGCGGATTGACTTATTTCATACTAACCAATAGAAGTATAGTTTTCTAAGTTTCTATCTATCACGTAAATCAATTTAGCGTCTGACTATTCGCGCCTTTACTAATAGAATTTAAATTTAATCTGACATTATTTAAAAACAAAACAAGAAATGGATGAATATGATGAATATCTAAAATATCAGGTTGAAATAATGCCATTACCAATAAAAATAATATATTATACATTATTAATATTTAGAGTTTAAAAAAGTGTGCGGGCAGGTGACAGCGTTCAGCGATAAAGTAGAATATTCAGATCGTTTAATTTGGCACGTGCGCACGAAAATCCTATTGAACGAAAGAATAGACTTATATAGTGTAGGGTATTGTTAAGATTGATATTCTTATTTCTTTTCTTTGGCTTCACTTTTCCACTTATTGCGTAAGAGAAATGCGAGGGTACCTAGCAATATATTCGTTTTAAACCAAGGGAATTCTATTTCTTCTCAATCTTGAGTATAAATGATACTTCCGCAGAACCCTTTAGTTTGGCAGCCAAGCCATATCATCGCCTTCCACACAAAGTATCGTAAATCCATTTTGAAAACTTTACAGTGAGGCGAAAAATTCCACGTCTTTTAAAGTTTTGTTATAAAATTGTTGTTGTTCAGCTATGCCAGTCTCTCTTTAAGTTTCTTAAAATTTAAAACAAGATAGATTATTCAGATAACAGTAAAACTAAAGATTAGGAACTAAAGGTATAGAGGAACTAAAGTATTTTGCCCTCCAAATTTGTTCTCCCTTTATTATGGTTGGTAAACAATCGCCTTTTCCGTTTTAGTCTCTTGAAATAAATTATTTAATTTGAGTCACTTATTTGAAACTATTCAAATTTCAGATGTTTTTTCTTATTATTTCCTTTCGTCTTCTTAATTGCTCTGCAGCAATGTTGGAACCACTTCTATAAAACCCTCAAAAAATAAAATTCCTGTTAACTCTTCATCACAGTTAAACAGATGAAGGAAATAAATAAATTATTTTTGCAATGAAAATTATGCCGATTGGTAAAGCAATAAATAAATAAAAAAAAAAAAAAAAATAAAAAGTAGAACATAAAATAAAAATAAAATGCAATTTTAAAATATTAATTGCAACGGATATCAAAGTTACTTTTACAAATCTATTTTAGACATATCTATATTAGTTAGAAAACACATAAAATCTTGTCTTTTTATACGGTTCATTACACAACATAGAACACAATAATAAGACTGAACAGAAGAATAATAGAAAGAAATTACAATGAAAATTTGTAATACTGGAAATCAGCTTCATAAATTAAAATGTTTCATTACAACAGGTATGTTTTGTAAGGTCTAGTGACAGACAATTCTTTGTAACACAAGCGGTTACACTAGGGCGTTAACAAGACATAGAGAACAAAAAACATGATGGAACTTCCTCGTATGTTTATTCTGAAAATACATAATGTGTAGGATAAACAAGCTGGAGAATATGATATAGCTAAAACAATCCGGTTTCAAATAAATTATTATTTCAATAATATCAATTTAATTTAATTTTTTTTTTTTTTTTTTTTTTTTTTATTTATTGTAATTCTTTTTAAAAGGGGTTCAGGGGATCAATGGGCCCAACTAGGTACAAAAGAGAGTATGTAAGGGAGGTGTGTAAATGCTGAGTGAATTCTTTTTTAAGTATTTTTAATTTCCTCGGGGCCTCAGGCATTGAGTATATAAAGGGCTTCAAGTATAACTAGTATTGAAGGCTTCCAGTATAACTTATATTATACCCAGTGTACAGGGGTGAAATTGGTCTGTTTTAACAGACTATTTCCTGACTAGATAGGAAACAAAACCGACATAGATGTCATGGACTCGATTTCTGAGACATGTTTAATGGCGTAAACCATCTGTTGATATTTTCATTGCCAACTGAGATACAGGGTCTTTGATTTTTACCATTTTTGAAAATTGTCCATAACTTTTTATTTCACTTGAATAATAAAATTCTGTAAAACGTTCTTAAGGCACTTTTTAAGGCACAATCCAGTGGCGTAGTTAGCTCCTTTTGTCAGAAATAATAAAAATATAATTTTTAAATGGAAATCATAGTTGCAGGCTATGAACTTAAAAAAATAGTGGCGTTTTAACCATTTTCCAACGATATATAAAAAGTTATGGATCTATTTCTAAGAATGAGAGAATATTAGATTTTTTATCTTTATATCGAGGCGGGCCTTGATTTTGTGTTGACATATTTGCCTAGTTATTTTTATCACAATTTATATTCTATATTATTTTTTGTCTGCATAATTAAAGAGACTTTTGAAAGGTAAATTAACATTCTATATTAGCAATGAAGTGATTACAATTAAGAATCGATACAATAAACAATGAACAAAACTAAAAACCAGTATTTTTGGTGACGAATATAGTTTTTCTAAAAAAAACATCAAAGATATTCAAACAGCCCTCCTTGTTGAATACACAATAAGCATCTTTTGCGCACAGAGTTACAGCGATTTATTAGACGAACTGGTGTAATAAGTCCAAAAATTTGCCTAGTAATTTTCTGCAATTCTTCTCTCACGTCTCTCTTCTCTCTTCTTCACTTATATATAAAGGTTTTTAATTTCCCAAAAAAGTCGCAAAGGTTGGAAATGCGGGACTGGCAGACTGGTGGACTTCTTTTCCATTCCATTCCAAATTTCCATTTGAAACCGTTTAGATTGCCCGACTTCGTTTTGTTGTAGTTGCAATGTAGACTCAGTGATTTTCACAGTCTTTGTTGTAGGTGACAAAAATATGGAGACAGTAGAAATTGTGACAAAAATAATTAGGCAACTAGATCAACTCAAAATCCTTGGCCCTTAGATACAAGTATAAAAATACAGTATTTCTCTCATTCTTAGAAATAGATACTCTTAATTTTATATCGTTGGAAAGGGTTAAATGCCAACATTTTTTAAGTTCATAGTCAACTATGATTTCCATTTAATTTTTTTTATTTTTTTATCATTTTTCTGACAAAAGAGCAAGTATAGAAAAACTGACTACGCCACTGAATTGTGCTTAAAAAGGTGCCTTAAGAACGTTTTACAGAATTTTATTATTTCACGTTGAAATACAAAGAGTTGTAGGGCAATTTTCAAATGGTAAAAAATTCAAAGAATTTATATCAAGTTGGCAATGAAAATGTCAATAGGCGGTTTACATAAATTAAGAGCAATACCTCTGAAATCGAGCCCATGACATCTATGTCGGTTTTTGCTCCTATCTAGTCAGGAAATAGGTTTTCTCTGTTTAAACAGACCAATTTCGACACCCTGTACATGTTATTTTATATGTAGTGGTATAGAACTTTTGGGAGAATGGATAATTATTTATAAAGTTGACCACCGTTTTAAACTTTTAGTCCCACGTGATTAAAACACGACCGTCGCAGCGTTACCCACTTTTACATATTTTTTTTTTAATGAGAATATTTTTGGAAAACAAATTACTAATTATAAACATATAAACAGTTATTCTTTACATCTAGCAAAACCACCTCCTTAACAGCGCCTAGAAAAGGGACATAAGGGTCATTACTACCGAATTCCGGTTAAAATGATTCTATTAAAGTGATGTTTTTGCATTGGCTATTAAGCTATCTTCTGTGCTATCTTGTACACTTCGGCTTAAAGGGATGTGGATCATTTAAACCAAAAAACTCTTCATACAAAAAATCTAAAAGTGTCAAAACGAATGACAATGTCAAAAATAAATAAATAGATAGCAGCTCGACATTTTTTGTAGAGCTGCCACCTGAATCCTTAGCGAAATTTAAATTCCAGTTAGCCGGCATCGAATATGTTCATGGTTGTCAACAATGAATTTTAAATCGCGCCCTCTATTATTAACTAAAAGAAGTTTAGTTGGTATCGATATGCATAGTGTGATTATGTAAGTATTAAAATACCTCAAATTTACGTAGAAAAACGAGGCACGAGTAGGGAAAGTGGGTAAGTTGACCCGAAGCGGGTAAAATGACAGTGTCGATAAAATCATTATAACGTAATATATTTCCATTCGCATAGGAAGCGCCATCTCGTTAGTGTACCCTGAAGTAACTCAAATAGTTTGGAAAGGCTTGGACGGCGTGCTTTTCTGTTAGAACTGATTTGTGGATTTCACGTGTGTCGGTAAACATTTTCGTACAGTGTTTTTAAGGTTTACAGTGTTCCAAATTAAGGTAAAGACCGAAATAAATATTACATAAAACTGGTATATATGCATGTTATGCTAAAAAAGTTTGCATAAACAAAGCTATTTATTAAATATTTTCTAGCAATACGTAACTAC